TCTAAATTCATATATATTTGAACATATTATTTTTAAACATGTTTTAAAATACTTAAATGTATTAAATGTATGTTAATATATTTATCCACCCAACCTACATGTAAAACACCTGGAAGCCAAGCAAAACTTTTCTCCTTATGTTGTTTCAGAATTTTATTAAACAAATAATTCATTGAACACATTCAATGTAATATACACTGCGCCAGGCATTTAGCCACCAATATCTCATCTTATTTTCATGTGAAATATTATTTTTGTACTATAGGGTAATAAATTAATGCTTTAAAATGAAACCACTTGATCAGAATTTGTAAGAATTTGAGACTGAGAGACCAGGCCTTGCTCTTTTGCCCTTGTGAACCTAACACTGGGGGAGACAGGCCGACAGCCACTAAATTATTCTTCTTTAGCCTTGCCCTATGAGTCAGGCAGCCAGATGTGGAAAAGGATCAACTGGGGGTTTGGGGAAGGGTTGTCCAGAGGTACAGCCTGCCCCATCTCAATGCCCTATAAGCGTAAAGACGGACAGGTTCCAGGAGCTTGCTATGGGGCAGCACGGGCAAGACAAACAACTGCCTAGTGTTTGCAGAGTTGGGGGGATGGCATCCCAAGGGCTCCTCAGACAGCCATCCTGGAACCCTGGTAGTGTTGGTGTTGTGCTGACTATGCCTCCTACAAGGATGGCCTGCCCCATGAGCTTGATGTACCATGTGGTAAGTCCTACCTTTGGCCTCTGAAGGCCATAGTCCAGTTAGAGATAGATTCAATCCACTTCTATTCTGCCAATCAAATTCAGACATTTTCCTTTTGGTTACATTTGGAGGAGACTGAGGTAGGGAGCAACTTAATGCTGATCCTTGAGTCAAGAAATGGAGTTATATAGTGGAAAATGCCCTAAACTTTGAATCAAAAAGCCCTGGTTTCAAATATGAGGCCTGCAAGTTGCTTAGTGACCTTGGGCAAGCCAATGAAACTTTTGTGAGTCTCAATTTTTTCATTTGCAATTTGGGATAGAAATGTTTATTGCTATTGTGAGGATTAAATAGTGTATAGCAGTGGTTCTCAAATGTGGGCAATTTTGTTCCCCAGGAGACATATGACAATGTTTGGAAACATTCGGGTTGTCTCAAGTGGGATAGTGCTGGCATCTGGTTGGCAGAGGGCAAGGATTCTGATAAACAACCTACAATGCCAATAGTACTGAGGTTGAGAAACCCTGGTGTATATATACCATTAGGCTTTTTCTAGTGTTCAGCATCCAAGAGGGTGTTAAGGTTAACTGCATTAGATTAGACTGTGAAGAGCAGGACTCCTCATTGCTGGGCCTCTTAATAGGCCCCCCATTCCTCCATAACTTGCCTCAGGGGCCTAGACAATCGCTTAGGGTGAGAGCTGTGAATGTGCTAGTCCTCATCTGTCAGGGAACATGGGACTAGGAGGCCTGAGTCTTACAGAGGACACTTCCTTTTCTGGGCCTGGCTCTCACCACCTGTACCAGGACAGTGTCTGACAGAGCTTCTGAGGGCCATCTGGCTCTGATGTTTCTTCCTAGGTGCTGGCATATGCTGGGATATGACTAGGACCAAGGCTCCTTTTATACCTGTATTCACTTGCAACCTCTCACAGCTCCAGGACTCACATCCTACCTGCATGCAGCTCTGGAGAGAGGACAAGCAGTTGGGGAGTTCTCTTCTCCCTAGGATCCCTTAGCATCTGGGCTTCTTTCTTTTCATTTTTTTTTTTTTTTCCTGAGACAGAGTCTTACTCTGTCACCCCAGGTAGGGTGCAGTGGTGTCAGCCTAGTTCACTGCAACCTCAAACTCCTGGGCTCAAGGGATTCTCCTGCCTCAGCCTCCTGAGTAGCTGGGACTACAGGTGTGTACCACCACACCCAGCTAATTTTTTCTATTTTTAGTTACCCGGCTAATTTTTTCTATTTTTTTTTGTTTTGTTTTTTTAGTAGAGATGGGATCTCACTCTTGCTCAGGTTGGTTTTAAACTCCTGAGCTCAAACGATCTTCCTGCCTTGGCCTCCCAGAGTGCTAGGATTACAGGCGTGAGCCACCGTGCCTGGCCTGGGTTTCTTTCTTGACAGTAGCAACTTGTGCCTTAGCCCTAAGTGGTAGCTGAATAATAATAGAGCCTACCAGGTATGGGCTTAAAAGAGACCCTTGTGCCTAGGCTGGGTGTGGCTAGTCCATGAGGAAAAGGAGGACTCTAATATCTCTTCCTTGTTCCACAGTGATTAGTCTCAGGTCTTTTTTGAGGCCACCAGGCTGAGAAACATGCAGCAAAGGGTATCTGCTAGGCAGGAGCCTCATGAGAGAGAATCGCTGACAGTGAGTGTGAATGGAAATTAGCAGAGCAGAGAATGAAGTCAGGCAGACAAGTCTAAATGATCAAAGGAGAAGTGATGAGGCCACTGAAAGGTCAGAGAGAAGAGGTGAACAGGAGAGCTGGATTTAGGCAGCATTCTTGAACTCCAGTGGCCAGAGGTCAGCAGGGTATGGAGAAGAGAGGTGACACCCAGATGTCTAGAGAAGACCAAAGAAGACAGGAGAAGAACAGGAATGACCAGGAGCTTAAGTTGGACATGCTCCTTATGTTTGTGTTTATAGTTTTTACAACATTTGAAGAATTTGGGGCCATTATTTCTGAAATATTTTTTGTCTTCCCCCTTCATAGACTCTAAGGACATATATATATTTTTTGTTTTTCACAGATTTCTTTTCTCCGTGAAATTCATTTTGGACAGTTTGTATTGATTGCTACGTATTCTAGTTCACTAGTCTTTTGCCTGCAATGTCTAATTCTCTCTAGTATATTTTTAATCTCAGGCACTGTGACTGTCATCTCTAGAAATGTGATTGATATATTTTTTCCCCTTATGTTCCACATGTCTCCTTACCAAGCTCATGCTTTCCTCTATTTTCTTAAATGTATGGGATATCATTATAATAACTGTTTTAAAATCCTTGTCTGCTAATTCTATCATCCATATCACGTTGGATATGATTCTATGTTCTTAAAAAATTACTTGCACAGGGAAACAATCAAATTCATTAATTCAATAAATGACTATGAAGTACTAATTTTAAGACATTTCTGACAGTACTATTCCAATTGTACTGTTTTGATGTATTAAATCAATTATTACTCATTTTTTATTATTACATATTATGATTGTTTTAAAGTCTGCTGAGGTAAGCCTCTGATCCAGTGTTACTGTTTTATTTGTTTTAAATCATTACATTTGTTGGAAATTATTTTTCCACATAAGCTTCACTAGCACTTCCTCAATTTACACTAAAACTATACTGGAATTTTAACTGGTGTTACACTAAGCCACATGGAACATCTTCTAATTTTTAATACACTTGGTCTTTGGAGGTAAGAAGAATAAAAGTCCTTTATTTCTGACATTTAACTTCAGCATCAATCTTTATCAACCTATTTATGCATCCATTTTTTATCCATATCTTTATGCCCTGCTATTTCTTTAAAAACCTTCAATTTATATACAGTATCCATGAATTAATAGTTTTCCTTACTCCTTTCGAATATTCATACTTTATTTTTTCATGGCTCATTACAAATGGTTGGCAGGTCCATTTGTAATGGACCGGTACTGCACAGAAATGGTGACAAGGAGCACCCAATTCCCACCTATTTTACTTTCTCTTTTCAAATAAACATCCTTTATTGCATTTCTCCCTTTTTCAGAGTTTTATCACAGGAATGAACAATATATGATATCAAATGATGTTATATGTTGATATATGATTTTAAATATTTTTCTTAAATAATTAATGACTACTAATTTTTCTTATATTAAAGTGGCTTTGAATTCCTGATGTTAACCTTATTTGATCTCTGGTGAACTAATGTGTGGCTATGGTCTATCAGCTAAAACTCTATTTAGAGTCTGTCTATATGTGTGTGTGTGTGTGTGTGTGTGTGTGTGTGTGTTTTAAGTTTCTGAGATAAGTCTGCAGTGAACTTTATTTTGGGCTAATACTCTCTTCTCATAAATAGGCTTTCAAACACTTACTGCCTAGTCCATTATAATTTTGAGAACTATAACCATATGGGGGCAAAATTACTAATGAAGACAAAGTTATAGAGCATTCTGTTTTTTCATCAAGTTCATACCATCAGGAGTGACTAAATAAAACATACTTCAGAGAAAGAAACCAAATTAAATTACTGTCCTTGTCCACTCAGAAAAACAGCCAGTCTAAGTCATATAATTTAACAAAAAAAGATGGTATATTTATTGACTGCATTAGCATAATTCACTTTAACAAAAAGTATCATATTTAATAATCTAAAAAGATAACTAGTTATAGCTACATATTAAGTATGGCCAACTTTGATTGAATGATTATGTTTAATTCATTCATTTCCTTATTCACCAAGCACCATGCTAGGTGCAGGGAGATACAATGGTAAACAAGACATGTTTCTTCTTCAGTAAACTTACAAACTAGGGCAGGGACTGACAAACCTTTTCTGTAAAGGTCCAAATAATAATAGAGGTTTTGGAGGCCATTCAGTCTCTGTTGCCAACTACTCAACTCCGTCACTGTAGGGCAAAAGGAGTCATAGACAATACCTAACAAATTATTTACAAAATAAGTGGTGGGAAAGATTTTGCCCATGAACTATAGTTTTCTAAGCCATTCACTAGTGGAAAATAATAAACTAGCAATTTGAATCTTATGTGGCAAATAGAACAATAGTGGTAAGCAAAGGGTGTTATGGAAACATGACCTAAGAGAATCAACCAGGCTTTCTGGGAGGAGGCAACAATCCAACTAAAGACTTTATTTCTCAAATTCAGCAAATAAAAGTAGTTTTTTATAACATACCATTATAAAACTCAAAATTTCATTCCAAAATTGTAGAACATATTTGACTCCAAAAGAATTGCTTTATTATACAGAATTCTCCCCTAGCAGTTTACCAAATTTATACTATAAGCACATGTGAAAGCTTACCTTGAGTGACTGTTTTGAGAACAATTAAGGTTGATAAAAATCTCAATGGCAAATTAGAGCTCTTAAAGAAAGCAGCTGTCTTTGGTTTATTCTCCACAGATTGCTCTAAAACATCCTGATTTCCTTTAGTTACTACTCCTTTAAATATGTCTTCACCCAATCTCCTCAATGTTGATATCATAGTTGAATGCTGTTAAAAAAATATATATAATCTTTGTATATTTATTCATGTTTAGAAAATACCTATTTTAGGTACTACAGTCAAATATATGAACTAAAAGTGAATTTTTTTGCTAAAAGTTGAAAATATGCAAGATTGGAAAGTGACAATTTTATAATCAACTTTTAATAAATTATTTACCTATGACTTTGTATTCTTCTAAAACATGTAAGAACATAAGATTGTGCTATATTTCTGGCACAGAGAAGCATGACCACAACAGAGGTGAACTACCTACTCTCTCAGTTCCTCATTTCTCCACCATCACTGACAACTGGCTTATCAGGTACATCTTAACTGGGTTTGCATATGGAACTGACTGTCTAGATTTAGCAGGGGTCCTCAAACTTTTTAAACAGGGGGCCAGTTCATTGTCCCTCAGACCGCTGGAGGGCCGTTGGAGAGTGCGGAGCACATTCCACACATGCGCACCGTGGGCCCCCGACAAGTCGGCTGCTAAGCAGGACAGGCAGCAGTGGCAAAAACACCCGGCGGGCCGGATAAATGTCCTTGGCGGGCCGCATGTGGCCCGCAGGCTGTAGTTTGAGGACGCCTGGTCTAGAACTTCACTGCCTCCAGCTCACTCTGATCATAAATGTCACAGTGATTCTAAAAACTATTAACTATTTCAAAAGAATAAAATGCTGGGTTGGAGTCAAGGATAATTCTCACAAAGAATAAACTAAAACAAGAAAACGGGCAAAATAGAAATAATATCATAGAACTACCCTAAAATAACATATAATCTAATGGCATTCCACATATCCATTAAGAATCAAATGAAAGGAAACCATTTCAAATTGTTGCAGATGAGTGTGCTTAAACCAGACTCTCCTATCATTGAGTTGTGTAGCATGGGAATTTGTGACCAACTGGTTCCCAATTCAGTACTGATATTGCAATGTAGATAACAAGTTTCAGCTTTTGAATTTCAGGATCTAAAATCAGAAACAAATATATTGAGATTTTGTGGGTATCAACGGCCAAATGGTTGCGTGGTGAGAGGCACAAGTAGTGCAATCTAACTTAAATGTACTGTTGGCTCACATCGGTAATCCTAGCACTTTGGGAGGCCAAGATGGGATGATTGCTTGTGGCCAGGAATTTGAGATCAGTCTAGGAAACGTAGCAAGGCCCTGACTCTACCAAAAATATAGTTTAAAAAATTAGCCAGGTGTGGTGGCACATGCCAGTAGTTCTAGCTGTTGGGAAGGCTGAGGCAGGAGGATCCCTTGAGCTCAGAATTTTGAGGCTATAGTGAGCTAGAATCATGCCAGTGCACTACAGCCTAGGTGACAGATTGAGACACTATCTCTTTAAAAGTAAAAAAAAAAAGTGTGTGTGTGTGTGTGTGTGTGTGTATAGTCAAGATTTTTAAAAATAATACATGTGTATTTTAAAACCTTTGTGTGAAAAAGATAATAGAAAAAGTATTTCAAGTTTCTACTTATAGTGTATTAAAATGATAGGATTAAGGACATTTTACTTATTTTTTTGCCTTTTTATTATCTCTAATACTTTATACTACTTTTATAATGAAAAAATAAACTTAAAAATATATGTGTGGCTAGTATTTCCCTTTCATTGAAGGAGAAGACAAGTCACAAAAATAGCATTTTTGATTGTAGTTGAAGCATTGCCTAAGGATACAACAATCTTTGCTAAAAGTAATCAGACCCAAAATGTCTATTTTTGAATTTCAAATCCCTCATCATACCAAGAACCAGAAAGATCTCAAACTGAATGAAGAAAGACAATCAAACACTGTCAGTATCAATATGATAAGAAATTAGAATTATCTGACAAAGATTTTAAAGCAGTCATGATAAAATAAGCAATTGCAAACACTTTCAGAAAATCTCATCAAAGACAGAGAAAGTCCTACTGAGAATATACAGAAGAACCAAATGGAAATTTTACAACTGGAAATACAATAACCAAAATTAAGAAAAGAAAAAACAGAAACAGAAACAAAAAAACCAATTCAATAGAAAATGGAAGGGATAGAGGAAAGAATCAGTTAACTGCAAAATAAAACAACAGAAAATACCCAACCCAAATAATCAAAGACAAACTAGAAAAACAACAACCATCATCACCACAAGAACTTCAAGTAACTGAGAGACCATAATAAAAGATGTAAAATCATATCCTTGGAATCCCAGAAGGGGAGGAAAAATCAGGTAGGGCTAAAAAATACTTAAATTATGGCTGAAAATTTCCCAGATTTGGCACACAAAAAAAGTGTAGATACTGATGAAGCTGAGAAAACCCCAAACAGGATAAATCCACAGAGATGAACATCTCCACATAAATCCACAGAGATGAAGACCTATCATTCCCAAACGTATGAAAACTAAAGACAAAAAAAATATATGCATAGAAAGCAGCAAGAGTTAAATGACACCTTACATATATGGGGAACATATTAATAATTCAAATGACAGTAGATTTCTTACCAGAAATCACAGAAGTTAGAAGGAATTGGCACAACATTTTGCAAGTACTGAAAGTAAAGAACTGCCATTCCCAAATCCAACACCCAATGAAAATATCCTTCAGAAATGAAAGGAAATCAAGATATGTTAAGATAAACAAAAACTAAGAGGATCTGTCATCAGCAGATCTATCCTAGAAGAACAGATAAACAGGTTCTCTAGACCGGAAATGATAAAAGAAGGAACTGTAGGAACATCTGGAAGGAAGAAAGAATACAGTAAGCAAAAATACTGGTACATACAGTAGACTTTCCTTCTCTTCTTCAGTTTTATAAATTAGGTTTGATGGTTGAAGCAAAAATGATGACACTGTCTAATGTTCTAAATGTATGTAGGAAAACATTTAATGCAATTATGTTATAAAGGGAGGAGGTTAAGAGATGACAGGGAGGTAAGGTTTCTACATTTTACTTAAGATGGTAAAATAGCAATACCAGTAGATTATAATAAGTTATTTATACATATTGCTGTAGTGAATCCCTGTAACTTTAAGTTGCCTTGGCATCCATTTTAAATATAAGTTGGACTTTCTCATACCAGAAGCAGGGCTCAGTCACCCTTAACACAGTTTCCAATTCTATACCCTCAATTCCCCCCCCCCTCATTGTGGCCGAGCCAGGTATCTTCCTTATACAATTGCTTCCTGGTGACCACATCCTTGTGGGATAGCTAGATGTACCCTACTTGACTTGCTTTGCTGACCCTCACACCCCACATGGACTATGCATATATGCCACAGTGACTATCTCTCAGTCAACTATGTGGCCTCCTGGAACTTGTGCTTGCTTGTTTAAACTCAACAATTAGAACTCCTCATGGAAAATCTGCTTGGATAACACCCTAAACCTCAGTAAAGGTGTTGATCCATGGGTCCCTCTCTCTCTTTCTTCCTGCCTTCATTCGCTGACCTCCATGTGTGGCCTCCAGGTATGCCATGTAACCTCAAGATCTGTAAGCAATAAAATGTTTATTTCCATCTTGTCTCTGTCTTAATCATTGGAAGTATGCTTTCCATCTTAAAGATCCTAAACTAAACCAAATGTAACACCAAGAAGAACTATATAATAAGCTATACAGTGATTAACTCAAAACACTATAGATAAATGAAGATGTTTAACCCACAAGAAAGCACAAAAACAAAAGAAATGAAAAACAGAAACAAAAAAAAGTTAACAAAAAATAAAGTTACAGTTTAAGCCATAATATACCATATGTACATTAAGTATAAATGGCCTAAAAACACCAATTAAAACATAGAGCTTAACAAAGATGATTAAGAAAAAAATCTGAGCTGGTTGCAGTAGCACACATCTGTACTCCCAGCTACTCAGGAGGCTGAAGCAGGCGTCACTTGAGTCCAGGAGTTTGAAGCCAACCTGAGCAACATAGTAAGACCCCCTGATCTCTTAAAAAAAAAAAAAAACAGCAAGCAAACAATAAAAAAAAACCCAAAGAACTCAGCTACATGCTGATGCTAATTTCAAATATAACAATATAACCATGTCAAAGCAAAAGAATGGAAAAAGATATATCACAATAACATGAATCAAAGCAAAGCAGAGTGGCTATATTAATGTCAGATAAAGTGACTTCAGAGGCAAAGAAAACCATCCAAGACATAGAAAGACATCATAAAATGCGGCCGGGCGCTGTGGCTCACGCCTGTAATCCTAGCTCTTGGGAGGCCGAGGCGGGCGGATTGCTCAAGGTCAGGAGTTCAAAACCAGCCTGAGCAAGAGAAGAAAGAGATGTATTGGATTTGAATTCACTTTTTCTATATTACTATCTTAAAGCATTCAATCTGCATTTTCTTTGAACTATTTAGCTGCATCTACGATTTTTGTTTATCTATTTTTCTACTTGGTCTAATATTTCTTATTTGTTTTTTTGATATTCTATTTTGGCCGTGTGAGTTTTTTCATTAAACATATTTATTTCCAATCTTGAAGATGTTGTTCAGTTATGTTCTGATTTAATGTTTTATTTCTAAGGCCAGACACATATTTGTATTGAATCTTTTATATAATATTTGTTAAAGATTCGGATTTATGGTCACTAAATATGGTCTATTTTATCAATATTTATGTTTATTACTAATTATAAAAGATGTGTATTCATTGTGGTGTATGGTTGTTGATACTCTATTAAATATGATCAAGTGGTTGACAGTGTTCTTACTCCTCTGCCTACTTGTTCTATTCTATCTTACTGGCTATGAGATTGGTTTGAACTTCTAAGTTTATTGTGGACTTGTTTTTTATTCAGTCTGATACATTTTCCTTCAGGTTATTTAGTGTATATTTTTATGTTTTAGGACTTATGATTGTTTCTCTTGATGGAATTGACTCTTATATCATTTTTGAAATGATTCTTTATTGTCTGAAAGTTATGTTATGCAACATTCCTTTTGCCTAATATTTATATATACGTGATTCTGACTTTCTCTTCATAGTGTATATGTTGTCATGATTT